CTCGTATGACAAAGAATTTTTCGCATTTTTTCTTAATTATTTTTAAGTTAGAATAAATTTTCAACTGCTTTGATTTTTATCTCATTTAGATTCAATAACTTGAATAAAGATCAAGTATCCCATCACTATAGTCGCGTCTCGCGAAAAGAAATTTCTTATTCATATTACAATTATTTTACTATATTTTAAGTTTTAGCTTCGATGCAAAGCTGAGAAGATATTTTATTGTGACTATCATTTATTTTCTCTGCTCTAACTTAACCTACTTTTTTCAAACAATTACTTATCCAATGTTCTCCATACAGACAATTAAAATCATTCATTTTTAATGTTTTCGAAGTATTAATTGACGAATTAAGTTTGATATGATAGGTTTCAAATACAAAATTAAATCATTTTACTTTGTAATATAATAATTTTTTTACTCTATTTGTGTGTGCTACTACTAGACTATAATATTCCAAATTTGTTGGTAACATGTTGCTATAAAAATCATTTCTAAAAAAAATTATTGTTAGTTTCTCCTGAATTAACAATATATTTTTACAATTATAATCAAATTTTATAATACGCTCAATTAAGTAAATCTTTTTAACAACTTTTTTTTTATTGGTTCTTTTAGTCAAAATAAATCATTAAAATTAAGTTCTGAATATTTCCATTGTAGAATCTTTTTTAAACACAAAAGGTAATTAGAAATGATTACTATGATTTTTATTTAAGTGATCTATTACGATAAAAATGCAAAAAAATATTGAGCTTTTCTGATAAATTTACTATAAATAGTAATTATAAAATTTCCTGACTGCATATTAATCTTAACGATACAATTTTTTTAATTCTCATAAAATTTTTTATTTAATGATGTTAATTTCAAACTTGCAAATTGAACTAAAAGTTATGGTAATAAATTAATTTTTTTTTTACTATAAACTTTCACAAAAATTTACTTTAAAGGATTAACAAAATAGGTTAAATGTGTCATTTTCCTTATTTTTAACATATTAATAATCAAAACCAGTATTAATGTAAAACAATATTTTTTGGTCTTAATTATTTTTTTTATATGTAAATACTTATTTTTTAATAATAAGTAATAATATTAAAACTTAAAAGTAATAGAAAAAGTTTAATTGCACATTTGAAAACATCGAGAAAAGTTAATTAAGAAAAGTACATTTTTGTTTCTGATGAAAGTTCCTTGTAGTTCAGTGTATAAAACTTATAACTTTATTATTAGTAATAAATATTTTTTATTGAAAAGTATTGCGTTAAGTTCTTTAAATTTTTATATGCGTTAAAAGTTTAGAAATATACAATTACTTAATTATTTTTATAATATCTCCGTAAAAATTACAATATTAAATTATTGAATATCATTTTCATACTAAATTTAATTACTAAAATTATTATTTTTTTATATATAATAATTATAAATCAAATAACTAATCGGTATAAAATTAAAGGAATAAGAGTTATTGTTGCTTTTGAAATAATCTACCAATTTCTTAAAATTAAACACTATCTACAGATTTGCATCGAAGCGTTTTTTATGTTAGTGGTTTTAATCACTGTCAGATATCATGTATACTTGTCTCAACTATACCACGTCCATACTGTGCCACAACCCACTGTGCTACCGTTGTTTTTTAATTTATCCCTTTTATGTGTAAAGTAGAGCGTAGGAAGAGCGCGGCAGAGTAATGATTAATAATAAAACTAACATTGAAAGGTTACAAGTATAATAACAAAAATCTAATTATTTAGCCACAACGGATACCTTTTTTGATGTTTTTATTTTAATAACATCTATTATTTAATTATGTTTTGGGTGAAACGTTTATCTCAAACTTCTTCACTGAAGACATGTTAAAATGTGGATCAATTTTTTTAATGAAGTATCGTAATCAACTTATTGTAAACTTGAAATAGTATAGCCATAATTATGGAAAACTAGAAATGTTTGGAATAAAATGAATCTGAAATAAATAATTGTAGATACATTAAGACATTACATTTAACTAGGGCTTAGTACCTTATTCAGTGGCATAGGTTATGAAACACAAGGATCATGACCTCTTGTTGGCCGTAATATTTATCTCTAAGATGAAGTGATGAGCAAAAATAAAAGTCCTCAATAGAAGAATCTTTTTATTCTAATTCAGCATGCACCTTTTCTTAAAAAATCCTGGCTTTAACCAAAATCCAATTTTATTTTTTCAAATATTAAATAAGATCTAAAAGTTGGTACGAAAAACTTTTACAATTATTAAAGTATAATTAAAATATTGAATTTACGAAACTAAATTAAATAATTATATAAATAGCTTTTTTTCTTGTAACACTATTTTTGATGGTGTAAATACAAAATTAAAAAACAAATATTCCGTTTGATGGTTTATTAGAATACAAATTGAGGCGTAATATGCTATTTTAATAAATGGCGTCATCACTTTGGTATTATGTAGGGTAGTAAATTTACTATGGTCGATTACATTTATACGTTGAGTACCACGTGCCAAAATTATGTAAACCTTGATTAAAAAGTAACTTATTAATTACTAATTATTATTATAATGATCATTTATTTTTTAGGGTATCTGCAATACATATTGTGCATCCTTAGACAAGAACAAAAAATTATTGACTCGATATGTTGTTTGATTTAAACCTCCTCTTTACTTAAGTTCATTTTAGGTTTTCAAAAGTATTTAAAAAAAAATTTAACATCTAAAGTGCTATTAATAAAAATTTCATTCCATTCTATGCAATTTTGAAAAATTTGTAGCATAACAAATTTGAAATTAAAATATGTCTCAACTATTGACGTTCATTATGAAATTTTCACTAATGAAAAAAAATAGATATTTTTTTTAATTTCTGAGGATAGTATAATTAATATAATACGAGTATAATATAATTATAACTAGATAATATAGATAATTTAACACATTAATCATTAATATATTGTTGATTACTATTTAGTGGCGTAACCAGAATTTCATAATGGTTGGAAGGCATAGTAAATAACCTAACAATATTTCATATTTTGAACCTTTTTTTTGCTCATCACTCCATATTATAGTATATTCTTATAGAATATAAAGAATATAGTAATAGAAGAAGTCCTCTTGGCTACGATACTGTTACTATGAACACTATAGTGTTCCAGTAGAAAATTAATATTTTTTTTGATAGACGCAAAAAATGAATTAACCGCTCTAGTTAAATTATTACCTTCATAGCTTACATCAATTTTAATATGTACTCTTTCTGATTTTATTAGCATACTTTATGTTTTTTTCAATAAGCACTATCAAACCGCATTACATATTTACACGTTTTACGTTAAGCGTCAAACATTGATATGAAAACTGAATAAAGTATTGAAGTATTCGTTTATGTATAAAGAATTGTGCAATGGTATTTATGAATATCGTTGTTTTGTATTATGTAGTTTTTAGACGAAGGCAATAATCTTACAGGAAAACTAACTACTCTAAGTTCACTTTAAAAAATATTTAGTTTATAAAAAAATTTTAATAATCTTAACTATTATATCATTCAAATCTTTAAATTTTTCATGTTTTAATAACAAAGAATAATATATTTATGGTTAATTTATTAATGAATTTGATATACGCATTAGGGTACATAATGATTTTTTTTTTTTTACTGGTCTTTATTATTGACTATTAGTTTTAAAATCTATAGTGTACTGAGGTCAAGAATTTTCTTATCTGTTATTGATTGACATTGAAAATTCATAGTGTTCATTGATCGCTATGGATTTTGAGTGATTTTTTTTTTGTTAAAAGTTACCCCCTTAATTCAAGGTTTATCGTCCCCGCGAGAAACATAGTTTTGGCTCCTTCGTTCGTTGCATAATAAGTTGAAATATTTTGATCAAAACGGTTGTGGTGTTAAATTAGTTATTTTTTACGAGGAATTTTCACTGTTAAATTTAGCAATTAGTCTTCATATTTAAATTTTATTTTAGAAATGGTTGAACAGAATACAAGTTTTGTTTTAATCTTGTATAAATTAATTGTACTTTATAGATTTGAAAACATTTAAAATCATTCGTTTTTGTCACAAAATATTGAAATTTCTAATTATATTCGTTTATTAGAGAACACTATATTAAAAATATCTAGTATTTTAATTATGTTTGGCGACAAATAGTTCAAGGCACATTGTGTGAATTCTTTAAATGAATATAAAAAACATCATCTCTACACATTAAGATTATATTTCTGGATCATCCTACAGGTTTGTTAAATTTATGACGGCGCCTTTTTTTATTTTTAGAAATTCCACAAAACTGTGGGGCCGATTCATCTATTGATCAAGCGCTTAAAATCTGACGTTAGAGTAATTGTCAGTGTAAATATTTTTGTAGGTGTAGAAGTTGGCTACTGATCTTCTTTACTTGTTAAAAATGCGCAATTTCGTAACTGTTGTCATACAACGCGGACCAGTATTAGGTGACTGACGAAATACTTGTGAATTTTTGCGACTATTAATGCAATTTTTAGTTGTCAGTGTCGCGTTATACTGATTTTTAGTATTTCTGCTCTACCATATCTATATGCGTATGGCAACTACTGTAAGTTGTGGTAGACATGTGCGTTCTAAAACTCGCACTGGATTCCCACTGAATAGGTATGGATCCAGAATCCGATTGCCCACTCCCTTGTGTTCAAAAAAAAGAAGAAAATCGGGTATGCTTTATTACTAAAGTACAACTATTAGTTTAGTTATTTTGTTATTAGTATTTTATTGTTTAAGATGCTCTTACTATCATTAATTCAATAAAAATTAGGAAATTTCTCTTAAAAAAATATTGTGTGATCAAAATAATATTGTTTAAATTAAATATTACCATCCTTATACTTCAGTAATCAATTTTTCTTCGAATTTTTAATTGGTTTTTGACTTATAATTTCAAAGTACTGATTATTAATATAGTATATCTATAATTTTTTACAAAATTGTAGACTTTAACAAAGATATGAAGACTGAAACAGCCCAAAGTCATTTTGATTCAATTAATTCAACGACTTATGAGCAACAGTCACATATTACTGAGCAGCCTAGTAGTTCAAAACCAGAAAGACCTAATTCACTCACGGGACCTGGAGGTACACTCACTAGGCGACTATTTTGTTATCATGCAGCTAATCAATCTCTGTTAACTGGATCAAGTCAATCACCAACAAGACCTCCCAACTTATTTTTGCCATCAGGTAATTGTAATAATCAGAAAATAGTTGTCACTAAAATTTTATTTTAAAGCACAGTACTATTATTTTAAGGTTGTGAATCTCCTAAATTGAATTGTGATAAAGCATCATCATTAATTATTTCTGGGCAAAATAAGTTTCAAATAAGTGGTGGTGCAAAAACCAGTTATTATCATTCCAGTCCTAGGATGATATTTGGTCATTCTGGACACCCTTCATTAATGCTTTCTGAACTTCCTGAACCTCCTATACCTGTATCAGAAGTAGGTCCTATCCCTCCACCACCAATGTTTAGTTCACCAGCTCAACAATCTTATTTATATCAACGTAAGAGAACTATAAAAAATATCATTCTAGTAAAAAATTCAGTGGTTTATAATTTTTAATGTATTACAGATAATGATCGTCAAAATAACTATTCTAATGAAAATAATGATGAAGAAATGGATATGATAACTAATGAAGATAATTATGATGATGATGATGATGAGGATGATGATGAAGAATATGATGATGAAGATGATGAGGATGAACAAGAAGTAGATGACAATGGTGATGATGATTCAAATGGTTTTAGAATACGTAATCGCCATAGTTACTCTAGCCGTGTAGAACAAATACCAGCTAAAGAACCTGTTTTTAATGCACAACCTCTTAAATCTGCTTTGAAGAAACCATCAACCCCAAATCAAAACCAACAAGATAGAATACAAATAAAGTAAGTTTAAATGAAAATATAATAATATAATGAAAAAAAAATCAATTTCAAAAATAAAATTCGAGGTTAAGAGATAAAAGTGAATTAATGTTTGTATGCCAATTATTTGGCAATCATTTGGCTCTTGATTTCACTATTTTTTACAATTTGTTGTTTATTGCTGCTTAGCAGAAGAGCTCCACTTAAACCTAGGATACGTTTTTGGTAACATTTTTTAATTTAAATATTTTTAATGTGTTCATGGTATTGTTGATTGTTTGTTTGTAGTGGTACTAACCATCCAATAGTGTTTGGTATATCACTACCTTGTTCATTGCAAGAAAATAAGGAAAACACTAGACCCAATGAATCAAGTGATGATGACAGCTCTGGTGATGGGCCTATATTATACAGAGATGATAATCTTGATAGTAAGTAAAAGTTATAAAGTTTAATATTATTTATTATAACATTTTAACTTCAATGTGAAGCTCAGTAAAAATTTGCTGATAAAAATGGAAGATTTTATATTATTTTGAGTAGTAACAGAATAGTTGCATCATTCAGAATTATTTCAAATTTATACTTTTTTAATGTAATATATAATTAAATAAAAAAATTTGTTCAAGTAACTCATTCTTTATAAAAATTGGCCTCTATAGCTTACAATCACGTAACTTTTGGTAGATATAATAGTTTTTTTAAATTACCAAGTATTTGATTAATGAACGGATTGAAATAAAATTTTCAGTGGTAATATTTAAGCCAAGTATTTTACATTAAACATACTTTTATAAAAATGCTATCATTTATCAAAGTTTCAAGAGGGGTATAATTATCATATAAAGTATTTTCTTTTCAATTTAAAATATTCCAAAACTCTTAACTACTTTAATCCTATATCTAATTATAGCTAATACAATTTACTTTAAGATAAAAAAAAAAAATTATCCTAAATATTGATTTCTAAGAATTTTTAGACAAACCAAGAATCATACAATATTTGGTACAAATGGGAAATTTTGTAATTTTTTTTTTTTCAAAGATTACTTACTTCCTTTTAAATTATTAAAAGTAAAACTTATTTAGTGTAATGTATGATTAACAAAAAAAAAATTCATTTGTTCTCTTAAGTAATCAGTCAAAAATCATGTCATTTTTACTAAATATGATTAATTTTTTTAAAAATTGTTTTAAATACAGATCAAATTTTTTATAACTGATTTTAATCACTTACAGATATTAATTTAAAATAATACCTCAACTCTACTATGCTTGATTCTTACTGTAATTCTTATTTTATTTAATTTGAATAGATCGATTAGCTGAAAAAATTGCTAGGAAAGATAGTTTAGCTATAAAGTTAGCATTACGACCAGATCGACAAGAGCTTATTAATCGTAATATTCTTCAAGTTCAAAGTGATAAAGAACGACAAGAAACAAAAGAAGTAATTGGTGCTCGCCTTATAAGGTAAATATTATAAAGGTCAATAATAATTTAAATGATTTTCGTTTTCTTTTTTTTTAGGAGGTTGAGTATGAGACCAACACAAGAAGAACTGGAAGAAAGAAATATTTTAAAAAGTATTACTGTTATTAATGTTTTATTGTTGTAAAAACAGAATAACATATTATTTTAATTATTATATAGAACAAACTGCAGCAGAAGAAAAAAAATTAAAAGAAGAAAAAAAGAAAATGCTACTTAGAAAACTGAGTTTTAGACCTACAGTTGACGAATTAAAAGAAAAAAAAGTAAATGTCTACTTAATATTCATGATTCATAAATCCTAGACTATTACTGACTTATCTACATTTTTTTATAGATTATAAGATTCAATGATTATATAGAAGTGACACAGGCACATGACTATGACCGAAGGGCAGATAAACCTTGGACACGTTTAACAACTAAAGATAAAGCCGCTATTAGAAAAGAACTTAATGAATTTAAGAGTTCGGAAATGGAAGTTCATCAAGAAAGTAAACATCTTACTAGGTAAAAGATATAAAAAAAAATAACTATTTCATTCTAAGAGCCTATTATAATAAAAAAACATGGATTACAAACAAATTTTTGGCAGTTTTTTTTAATTATTTAAATCATTATTAATAAAAATAATTTAATCTCTTATCTGAATTACTATTCTCTTGTGTAACATTAAAATTTGTTATGATTTAACTGTAATGATTAACTATATTTATACAGAGTGATTCACTTATTATAAACAACTTAAATAATCGAAAAATAAAAAAAAAATTTATTTGTTTTTTTAGTTTAATATTTCTCTCAATTTTTCAATTATATGTTTTTTTATATTCATTCCTTATACATTATAAGAGCTTCAACTTTAATTTCTCAAATGGCAATATCCCTACTTAACTAGCTTGTTTAATAGATATTGATGTAATTAAAAAAATAACTAGTCAATAACAATTTTTGGACCAGTATTTCAGAAGTTATTGACATATTTATATCTAGGTGAAAGTAAGAGTACAGCTGGGAGATGTTATGTTATAAAAATAGCAGCACCCACTCTTCACTTCTAATCAGTACTTTATTTTGTTAATGAGTTCCAAAATACTGGTCCAAAAGTTGTTATCGACCAGTCATTTTCAAATTATAAGCTAGTTGAATATGTTTCCATTAAAATAAATTAAGTTAACACCCCTAAATGACATAAGGCATGATTATAAATGATATTTTATAACAGATTATTATTTTAAGAGAAATTGAGTGGCCATTGTTAAAAAAATCACATTGAATACTAACACTACAAGAAACAAATAAAAAATTTTCTTCTTTTTCAATTAGGTGGTTTATGATAAATGAATCCACTTTGTATAGATAAAAAAAAGGGTGGAAATAATGTTTAAATTTGTACATGCTTAAATAAAAAGTTAAGCAAAAGTTTCATTGGATTCTAAAAAAATTTTTTTTTAAGCGTTGTAATAATTTTCCTTTATTTTAAATATACAGAAAGTATTGGAGAAAATATTAGTTTAATTTCTATATATTTTTAGGTTAATGAAAAAAAGCTTACAATATTTTTCACCAAATGAATTTCATTTCTGATACTATTGCTAATAAACTATTAAATCAAAATTGAAAGAAAATAGACTATTTCTGTTTTTATCCAGCACTCTTTATATAATATCTGTGGCACTGTTTAATGATATTAATTTCAAATAAAAAACCCATCACAGGGGGGGTTGTGGCACAATGGTGACGTAGTTAGATCAAATATAATGATATCTGACAGTGATTAAAATCATTATCATAAAAAATGCTTCGATGTAAATCTGTAGATTGTGTTTAATTAAAAAAAATTGTTAGATTATTCCAAAAGTACATGATCTCCTATTTCCTTATTTATATCCTGATTAAGATAAAGTATGTCGAATGAATGATGCATATAAATACTACTTCTCATGAAAAAATCTATTGATTATTTTTCAAAAAGTTATAGCATTATAAAGTTAAAAATATAAAAAATAATTTTTTTACAAAAATCGTATTTTTTTATTAACTTTAATATCTGTTTTCACTTTTTACACTGTGAAAACAAAATAGTCTGAAATTTTTTTTTTTCTTATTAAAGTATATTACATAATCTTTTTTTAAGATATATATAAAAGTGTTAAAGCTTCGGGAACACTTTAAAAAATTAAGTTAAAAAAGTTGTCATTTTTAATCCTCCTTGTGGGCAGGTAAAGGATCAAATTTATAAAAAAAAAATAAATATATCAAATGATAGGTAAATATCTCATATATTTATATAAAAATAAAATTATAACAATTTTGTCATTTTTAAAAAATGTATGGCAATTTTAAGTAAAAAAAATTGAAAAATGTTTGAAAATTAGCGATTTGTGATCTTTTGATGTATCATTGAAAGCAATCGGTTCAGCGAGAGCTAAGAAAAATTGGTAACAGACACAAAAAAAAACATATCATAATAAAACTAATACCTTCTCAGCTTCGCATCGAAACTAAAATATTTAATTATAAAAATTAATTTTTATGTTAATTGAAATTTTAATTTATTATTTAATTAACCACATAATTGTAATTTTTCAGATTTCATCGACCATGAATTCACTTACAGTCACACTATTATTTTGTATATGTTTACCTATAATACGTTTTTCTTTATTAATTACTTGGTAAATATGTCTATAACATATTATTTTAACTAAATATTACATTTTATATGATATTCAATATATTATTATTTTTAAATAGTTCTCAATCAATTTTTTCATAAGTTGGAAAGTAAGAGCATTCATATATTGACGAGTAGTTTATGTCCGTCCATAATGATTGTGTGCAATATTATTTTTCATAGAAGCTCTAATATAATGAGATAAATATGTTATACTTACATTATAACATCATAACTTCTGCTGCTTTTACATTCCTCATAATTGTCCCACCTATTTATGTATAATCTTTATGTACATGTTTTCTTTTTAAACATGAAATTAATTTGTAATCTATACTATTTTATTACCATGTTGAAATTAAAGGCTCATTGTTTTGTTTGTTTTATTATAACAAAAAAAAATATTTAGAATTATTGTTTAATGGATTATACTTATTAAAATTTTTTATTTATTTTTCACCAGATCCTTATTTTATATTATTAATTTAATTTTTTTGTATATAGTGGTAGATTTATTTCTACAAATGATAAAATTATAATAAACCTTTTCTTCCTAAACTAATTATTTTGTAGTATATAAAATTATACTTGTAATACACAAAGTTTTTTTTTAAGATGTTGTTTTTATTATCAAAATGATTCTATATCTTTTTACTCCTTTTTGTAGTTTTTTATAAGTTAATTTTATGTAAATTATTTAACTAATAAACTAAAAATAATTTATTTAGGAATACAATATACAAGGTGATTCTTTTAACACTAGCAACTCACTTTCTCTTAAAATAATAATTTCTTTTTTTTAGTTACATATGTAACTTTATTTATCTGTTATAAAATATCTTCTATGTTCATGCCTAAAGTCATATAGAATATGTCTGTTTCTATTTTAAAAAAATAAACACTTCTATATGACATAAGGGATGAACATAAAAGATATTTATATGTAACTAACAAAAGCCAAAAAGTAAAGTTTTAGTTTAAAAAAACTGAAAAACACGCTTTTAAAGCATATTGAACTAAAAAGTAAAAAAAAAAAGCTTAAAACAATAATGAACGAAAAATACTAGTATTATTGTGAATAAAAATCGTTGAGCGCTCAATATACGAAAAATATGGCATAAAGCCCCTACGCTTTTTTTCACAATAGTACTAGTATTTTTCGTCATTATTGTTTTAAGCTTATTTTTTAAATTATTTCTGACTTTTCAGTTTTTTATGACATCGCTGTTACAGTCACGGAGTTTTTATTGTCAATTATCACTAGCAATGGATATAATTTCTGTATTGCCAATTAGTGTGTTTATAAACTCACAACAATGTGTCTTGTTACTATTGATAATAAAGGATATATGCTTGCTAATATCGTCATAAAAAACCAATTAGCTATTTGTATTTGTAATCCATTTATACATGTATATTAACTCAAAAAAATTTGAATCTTTAAATGTTTATATCTAATAATAAACAATAAAAATTTGTTTATGTATATATAATATTGATGATACGCCCACATGTACGGGTACGAAAATCAAAAATTATACAGGAAAATATTGTCGGAGAGTGGTGAGTTGGGTGGTATGAATGCGTTACGACAGTCCAGTCTTAAGGCCATAGACGACGAGATACGCGAGATAATAACACGTGGTGTGTGGAGAGTTACAAACAACACGCATACATGTGAAACTAATAAAAGCGTGTTAAAAAGTATCATTCTGTATAGGTGTTCAGCAAGTAAGGAAACAAGTTTCTATTGTTCTTGTTGTTTTTAACAATTATCTTGTTTCCTTTCTTACTGAACACCTGTACATTTAAATATTATTACTAAATTTATTAAATATTAACTTCATTTGAATATTTTTTTAAATATAATATTTATTAAAATGTAACAACCACATAATATTAACAATTAATATTTAAAATAAAATATATAATAAAGATTAATAAATATATAAAATAATTAATGGTATTTTTATGAACAGAATATAAAAAAACCAAAAATAATTATTTCTGAAAATTTCATATATTTTATTATCAATCACCAACCAAATTCTCTAAGAGTAGAACAAGGATTTGGTTTATATTTTGCCTCAAATGTTTCAGAAGTTCCTAACACAGAGTTATTATTTCTACTGAAGTATAATAAAATATACTTCCCTGGATTTAGTACTGATGTTTCAGAAAATTTTAAACAAATACTTTTGGAACCATCTGCATATTCATCTGGGAGGAAACGTACTCTACATAGAGTTGATGTATCAAAATTAGTGTGATTACTTTGCTCTTCACTTCCAAAATTGTACGATTCAGAAGGCAAATAAACATATGATAAATAATCATCTAAACTTGTGTAAAATTCCTGCAAAATTCAAAATTATATACACTTTATTTTAATATTTTAAAAAGCTTAATTAATATGTTTCAAGAATATTTTTGAGATTTGCATGTTACGACATAATTTTCTTTTTTTGCTTCGATGCGAAGCTGAGAAGGTATTGGTTTTACTATGATGTGTTTTTTTTTTTTTTTTGCCTGTTACCACTTTTTCTCAGCTCTCATCGAACCGATATCTTTCAATGATACGTCAAAAGATCACAAATCGTATCTAGTCGAAGACATTGCCCTCAAAAATTGAAAAAATTTCCCTCATTCCCCGTAAGTGGGGGAAACCTCCAAAAAAATTACAAATTTAAAAATCCCTAATTTTCGAAATTTTTTTTACTAAAAACTACCGTAATTTTTTCAAAAATGAACATATCAATATAATTTTTTTTTTATAAATGCTTGATGTCTACCTATCATTTGGTATATTTTTTTTGTAAATTTGACCCTTTATCTGCCCACGGGGGAATTTTAAATGACAACTTTTTCACAAAAAATTTACTTTTTCAACTTAACATTTGAAAATGTTCCGGAAAGTCTGACACTTTTATATATATCTTAAATTAAAGCTAATGTAATGTACTTTATTATGAAAAAAGAAAATTTGACCTCTGGACTTGTCTTCATGGTGAAAATGGCTACCAAATGCTATTTTTGTGTGAAAATTCTCGATTTTATTTTTTACATTTTTAACATTATAATGCTATAACTTATTGAAAAGTGTATGGATCAACACAATTTTTTTATGAGAAATAATATTTTTTAATAATCCCTCTTTCATTCGACATGCTTTATCTTAATCAGGATATTAATAAGGAACTAGCAGATCATGTAGCTTTTTGAATAATATACCAATTTTTTAAAATTAAACACTATCTAAAGATTTGCATCGAAGCGTTTTTAACACGCTTATATTAGTTTCACATGTATGTTGTTTGTATGTTGTATGTTGTTAGTTTGTAACTCCACGCGGCACGTGTTATTATGTCGCGTATGCCGTCGTCTATGACCTTGAGACTAGACCGTCGTAACGCATTCACCCCACCCCGCTCACCAGTCGGCGCCAACACTATTTTTTTCTGTATAATTTTGAGTATTTGACTGACCAACACCGCGCGTTATACGCCGCGGTGCAAAGTCCAGCAAGTGCTGCCGCACGGCCGACGACGTACCGCCGCTAATGATACCGTAGTATTCTTCCTGTTGTCAAAGTGGCAACGTCAATAAACCGATCTCCACTCGCGCACCGTCGCCATCAACGCTGCTAACCTTTTGACGCCCGAGGATCACGCCGGACATCGCGTCGTCGACGCCAACGAAAGTGCCACGATATTATGCGAAGATTATATATTCTTACCATCGCCGCTAATATTAATATATATATACATATATATATTATTATTTATATATACGTATATGTTAATATTCATTTATATATCCCTACAGCCGACGCCGCTGCCGCCATATATGCCTCGCGCCCCGCCCGCCAACAAAACACAGCTATACCTCGTGCATGATACGTTTACGTACTTAAGTCGCTTTACATGTATATATATAT